TGAAGTACCAGCGATTTGAAATTCTTCTTATTACAGTTTTTGTTACACATTTTTTATTTCAGATACATTTTTTTGCAAAAAAAACGAAACATTAATCAAAATATCAAAAATATGTATTTAAACAAGCAAAATGTATTAAAGAAGTATGAAGCATAAATATCTGTAAACAATAATGACATTTTTTTGTAATTACATGTAAAAATTTGTGTAATTTTTTTTGTTAATTAAAAATGTTATAAAAGTTTATAAAAGACAGTTTATACAAAAAATTTATAAATATAATAAAAAATATTGCCTATCTTACACTTTAAATTTATATTAATAAAAAAAATAAGTTAAAATATAATTGATCATTTGTAAGAAAGTAATTAAATAATGAAAAGTTAGAATTAATACATACACACACACAACCATGATATAGATAGATATAGAGTTGGATAGAGATAGATTGTAAACCAAAACATTTTTAAAAGTACCTATTTCTGTTTCTATTAAATGGGTGTCTCAAAAATCGTTTTGCATTTTTAAATGAAAAACGCATTTATTTACATTTTCTATTATAAATGCAGGTTAGACCCCCCATTTCATATAAATCAATTTAATTTTGATAATAATCGATTCGTCATAAGGTGGAGCAAACATAATACACGATTTTCTATAAATATTAACATATCTATATATATAAAGCACCGTCTGTCTGTATGTATGTACGCGAACTACTTCCGCATTTGTGGACCGATATTCGTGAAACTGGTACCAAAATGTTGCAAATTTTTTGGGGGTGGCTGCTGTGGGGTTTTTTTTTAATTTTTTAATTTTTTTTTTTTCTACAGAGGAGGGTATGTTTAATCTTTTTTTGCAATATTTCTGAACACATGGTATCAAAATGTTGCAAATTTTTTTGGAGATAACGACGATGCGGTTTTTTTAAGTGTTACACCCCCACCCACGCACCCACCCACGCATCCACCCACGCGCATGCGCATTTATGGACCAATTTTCACGAAATTAGTACCAAAATGTTGCAAATTTTTTTGAGAAAACTACTGGTTTATTTTTTTAAGTTTACCCCTCCACCCACGCACCCACCCACGCAATCGTATATTTATGAACCGATTTTTTTTAAATTGGTACCTCTTCCGGCTCTTGCCCATCGAGCTTTCTGTTTTACTGCAAAAAATGATTATATTACATAATATTTATTTATAATATTATATTATTATATATAATATTGAGGAGGGAGGGGGAGAGAGAGAGAGAGAGAGAGAGAGAGAGAGAAGAGAGAGAGGGATTAATTTAATCTATATATATAAGCACCGTCCGTCTGTCTGTCTGTCTGTCTGTGCCCGAACTACTTCCGCATTTGTGGACCGATTGTCTCGAAATTGGTACCAAAATGTTGCAAATTTTTCGGGGGTGGCTGCTGTGGGTTTTTTTTTAATTTTTTATTTTTATTTTTTTTCTTCAGAGGAGGGTATGTTTTTGCGAAAAAATTTTTTTTTTGCAATATTTCTGAACACATGGTATCAAAATGTTGCAAAATTTTTGGAGATAGCGACGATGCGGTTTTTTTAAGTGTAACACCTCCACCCACGCATCCACCCACACGCATGCGCATTTATGGACCAATTTTCACGAAATTAGTACCAAAATGTTGCAAATTTTTCTGAGGAAACTGGTGTTTTATTTTTTTAAGTTTACGCCTCCACCCACGCAATCATCCACGCGCGTGCGCATTTATGGACCAATATTTTTACGAAATTGGTACAAAAATGTTGCAAATTTTTTGGAGATGGCGACGATGCGGTTTTTTCAAGTGTTACACCTCCACCCACGCACCCACCCACGCGCATGCGCATTTATGACCAATTTTCACGAAATTAGTACCAAAATGTTGCAAATTTTTCTGACAAAGCTGGTGTTTTATTTTTTTAAGTTTACGCCTCCACCCACGCACCCACCCACGCAATCGTATATTTATAAACCGATTTTTTTAAAATTGGTACCAAAATGTTGCAAATTTTTTGAAGATGGCGACGATGTGGTTTTTTCAATTGTTACACCTCCACCCACGCATTCATCCACGCGCGTGCGCATTTATGGACCAATATTTTTACGAAATTGGTACAAAAATGTTGCAAATTTTTTTGAGAAAGCTGCTGTGTGGTTTTTTAAAGTTTTATCCCACCCACGCATTCACCCACGCATTCACACATTTATTCACAGACTTTTTCGAAATTTGTACTCAAATTTTGTTGGGATGGCTACTATGATTTTAACAAATTTTTATCATCCTATTCATCCACCCACGCACCCATGCACCCATGTGCATACGCATTTATTGACTTGGTCACACCAATAAGTAATTTTAAATAAATTTGTGTACATGTTTGTGATTGCAAAAATTTGCAACATTTTGGTACTAATTTCGTGAAAATTGCATACAAATTAAAGGTTTATTTACACGAATTGCACACATAATCACAAATACGTACACAAATTTTTTAAAAATTACTTCTTGGTGTGACCAAGTCAATAAATGCGTATGCAAATGGGTGCATGGGTGCGTGGGTGGATGAATAGGATGATAAAAATTTTAAAATCATAGTAGCCATCTCCAACAAAATTTAACTACAAATTTCAAAAAAGTATGTGAATAAATGTGTGAATGCGTGGATGCATGCGTGGGTGGGATAAAACTTAAAAAAACCACACAGCAGCTTTCTCAGAAAAATTTGCAACATTTTGGTACTAATTTCGTGAAAATTGGTCCATAAATGCGCATGCGTGTGGGTGGAGGTGTAACACTTGAAAAAACCACATCGTCGCCAAAAATTTGCAACATTTTGGTACCAATTTTTAAAAAATCCGTTCATAAATATGCGATTGTGTGGGTGGATGCGTAGGTGAAAGCGTAAACTTAAAAAACCCCACACACATACACAGAGAGAGAGAGAGAGAGAGAGAGAGAGAGAGCGTGTGTCTTAAAGAAAGAGGGAGGGAGAGAGATAAGGAGAGAGAGAGCATGTGTCTTAAAGAGAGAGAGAGGGAGCGCGTGTGTTTTAGAGTGAGAGAGAGAGAAAGCGTGTCTTAAAAAAAGAAAATAAAATATCTGGGAGAAAGAAATAGATAACATAGTAGTCATCCACAAAAAATTTAAACATTTATTTTGGTATAAATTTCGTGAAAGTCGAACAACAAATGTGGAAGTAGTTCGCGGTAATACAAAAAAAGAATTAATTTTTTGTGTTAAAACGGATTTAATATAGACTATATGAGGACCGCGCAAAGCGCGGTCCGAATAGAAAGGCTGGCTTTGAGGACCGCGCGAAGCGCGGTCCGAAAACTAGTGTGTTCATAAGTATAATAGAAAATACTACTAGCCTTGAAAAACTATGACATCTTGTGTTATTCATATATAGTACACAAAATAAAAATTATTATAAATGGAAAGAATAACAATACAAAGTATTTGAAAATATCAGACAAATTTTTAAATATATCTATCTGGGCCCTTGTAGCGGCATTATACGGATAAATTTTTGCTAATATTTTATTTGGCACATAATGCGTGCCTTCAAATTTACAAAAATAGCGACCTATTTCGTTATTATCGATCCATTTCGGCGTTGTTAAAATTATAGCGTCTAAAATATAAAAAAATATTAGATTCATAATCACTAAGAAAAAGAAAAAATAAATAAAATAAATAATAAAGAAATTATAATAAATTAAAATAAATATAAAAAATATAATAATTAAATAACGGAAACAAAATAAAGTATTATTTTATATCCCAGAAAATATTTTGCGCGCATATACCTAGCCATTGCATACTAAAACGGCTCATATTGCGCAAGCAAAACCTTATCCTAGTGCGTCGTCATAGTGATAGCAAATGCTAGCACACTTTGCACGCAATTTCATCTCGTTATAAGCATGCAAGATGAGCATATTCCACAAGCATATGGCTGTCACTATCACATCACTGGCATATTTTTGGCAATTTGATATCCATTTGCACGTAATTTGCTGGTGTATTAAATAATATATAAACTAAACATTTGCCTGCAATATGTACGACTAAATATATCTCACATGCGAAACTCAGGCAAGTTTTGTACACAGTTTATATGCATAATGCGCGCAAATTTTGCAGGCAACAACTGTTATCAGGAATTACATACAAAAAGATGAGTTTCGTATACTAAACAAATAAAAAAGTTTATATATATAATGATGCTCATACCTTCTTCTACTTTACGAAGTCTATTATCTTCAGTGAGAATAATGTAATATATTTGTTGATGTACAAATTTAATTGTTGCTGTAAATTCACGAAAAAATTGATACAACAACATTGCATATCGATTCACGTTCCATGTATTGTCTAAGTTCTGTGTAACGTCTAAAGAGATTGTATCACTTCTATCAATATCATATCTGTCCCATCCGACGATCACACCCACCTCTTTACCTATAATTATAATTATATGATTATACCTAATCTATAATAAAATTCAATCTATATTCATAATAAAATAACTATATATGATTTGTCACCATGTTTAACTATCATCCCAACAGCAAACTTTACATTCTCTGGCCTTCTATACGATTTCTTTTTTTTTAACCGTTTATTTCGTAGATGCCGCTAAAAAAAGTAAGATCTAATTTGATTTGCTTATTCTTTTTATACAATTCGTAAATATTGCCTTTTTTGGCAATCAGTTTGCTACCTGAATAGTGTTAACATACCTGATGATTTGATATTTTACATAAATTATAAATAGTATAATATGTATGTGTTCCATCTACGTTCCCCAAACAAAGATGAAAGCGCTGTACTAATAAGGACAACATCTGAAAAAAAAAATTTAAACTTATACAAAAATGAAATGAGATCTGATTATAAAAATAAAAAATATGAGAGATTGTGTAATAATCCCTGCTGCCTATATTATCACGTGTAAAGCATATTTCATTGATTAATCTATTTGCCATAGTTATAAAAGTATATTATAATTAGTGTTAAGAAAATTCATATACAATGTATATAATTGTCAACCTCTTCAGGTTTTAGTATAAAGTCTGCCAAGGTATTTCCACAGATCATCATAAACAGCAATTGTATGTGAAAACGTTTCGGGAATTCTTTAAAAGTTATATCGTAACATCTTGCATTTTCAAACCTATTTATAGCACTGCAAACAATATAGAATTATAATATATGTGTATGCAATATATTAGAAATGCCGAAATGTTCAATTAATTTCAATTCTAATTTATACTTACTATTTTGGCATCCAAAATATATAGTATTCGTCGATTGCTAACTCTTCCTTAATTAAAACGCAACGTAAACCAAGTCTCCTGGCCACGCTTTCATATATTATTAATAAAATTGTTTTCTGGCCACATTTATTTTTTAACACCTTTGTCAATATTATAATACAACATTAATTTGTGCGAAAGTAATTTTAAGATATAACAACCATGACCATGCGCGCAGCATGTTAAAAGAGTTGGTTATAATATATTTTAATAAATATAAATATATTCAAATAAATTTAAATTTTATTATCGATAGAAATAACTTACGTTATCTATACAAAGGTTTTCCACATTTCTGTCTGTCCATTGGCATAGTCGAAAGTTTAATTTACCAAAAATATATTCCTCGAGTGTATCCATAATCTGCGTACTTTCTGCTTCGTCCCAATAATTATCATCGATATTGTTGTTTCTCCAATAGGAAAAATTCTCAGCCGACGTCGAGAATATCGAATGGTTGGGATGTTTTTCTCTAAGACAATTTAAAACTTCTTCTGCAATACTATCTAATGATGATTTTACATATTCGTAAAATATATCCTTTTCAGGTTGCATACGTTGAATCGCAATAGTTGCAACTTCTTCCATTAGTTGCTTTCTTCGAGATTTCTTTCTGAATTTTTTCAGTTTCTCTCTCACAAAGCATAAACTCATATAAAGAAATAATTCTTTATTGATATATATTTCAGTTAGATCGCAATCAATTCTCCTAAAAAATTATCATATTAATTGTATGATAAATTATACATATATTAGGCTACAAATAGAACGATAATATGTGTATACATGTATATATATATATATATATATATATGTATATATTAAAAATTCTATACCGTGAAAATTGTGTAAAAGACTTTTTCAATTCATCAATGAAAAAATAATATTTTATGGTGTTTTCAGGTTTATAAATAATTTCATCAAATTTATCTGTACAAAATATTTCGTCAAATCCTCTTCTATTATTGAGTGAATCGTAATTATAGTTATGTATAATTTCAGATATACAATTTTTTAATTCTCTCATACAATTTACGCCTGTTTCTATAAAGTTTACAATTTTTTGATCCTTTCCTTCGTTCTCTTCAAATTCATTCTCATTTTCTTTAAATTGTGTGTCATAAAATATCTTCACAGAAGACCATCTGAAAATGAAACAAATTATATTTTAATAATTCTTTGTAAATTTCTTTGACAAGATTCTCATAATACTGACTGCTTAATCTGAAGATGATTTTCGGTGGGAATTTTATCGAAAGATACGGGAAAAACATTGAAAAATTCTACAATTAGAGATATCATGAATAATTGTTATTATATCTTCGAAATTATACATTAATCCTAGAATTTTTTTTGGTATTTCCAAGTTTCTCGTCATAAATGCCTATACAATTCACAGTCAGAATGAAAAAAGAATTGCAAAGAGGAATTACCTGTGAAGAAACTTTCTTTCCTTAAAACTGTCATATTTGGCTGCAAACTGGAAACGCTTGCACACACATCTGAAGCTAATTATGTCTTCAATAGTGATATCACTAGACCCAAGAATGATATCTATCACCTCGTTAGGTAAATCCATTATTGTCGTCATTATAAAAAAAATTTTAGTGAAACACGAGGCTGTAATAGAAATTTAAATAGCAACAAACTATTTGTGTAATTAATTTTCTGCTGGCAAATATACGAAATTTGCAGTATGTGATACTGCATACGTATTTAACAATTGCAGAAAGTACAAGCACGTGTTTCACCTGATCACTACATATAGTTTCCACGACTGAGTGTGGATTGTAAGACGTCCCAGCCAGAAATGTTAAATCGACGTCGAATCGACGTGGAATCGATGTCAAATCGATGTCAAATTGGTCGAATCGATATCGATTCGACGTCTTTTCGACCGATTATTTACTGACTGGGGTTGGTCAGGCATTGATCAAGTAAAAATTTTAAAATAAGAATGATTTTAAAATTTTTACCTGACCAACGCAACGGTCTGGACCTTATGTGTTGGGCTCAATATAGATCCTTTTTCCATGGCGCTTTATAATCACAAAAGGAAAACGGAATTCAAAAACAGATGACACATTATTTCCTTTTTACATTTGCGTTCTAAAAATAGAAAAAGATAGAGAACTATAGAATAGCAATATACAATTTAGATTCTTAAAGATATTCTATTGTAAATCGAGGCAATACTATGTTAGACAAACAAATTTGTTCAGGCTGTACAATTAGCGTCAGCAGTAAATGCTCTTATTATTTTACCAACAAAATTTTATAACAATTAAAAATATCTTTTAAAACCTCATATGAGGAAAATTATTAAATGAATAAAACGAGAACTTATACATACGTATGTATATATACTTTTATTAAATTAACACAAAATAATTTGTTTAATTATTTACTTCATTCATCTGTGCTAACCGCTTTTCAACAATTGCTTTCATAAACTAATCAATTTAAATTTTTTTACGGGCTTAATAAATTATTCTTACTACAAAGTTAATATACTGAAGCGTTATATTGAGTATACAGTAATAAAGAAATATTCGCAATTAATTGTCCTGAAAAATTTACATATAAATTTAGGATATAACTATATTTCATGTGTAGATGTGTGTATGTTTGTGTATGCGCGTGCATTCATGCGAATATACGAGCGGAAGTGCATGTGTGCATACATATGCATGCGTGAGTGTTGCGTGTTTGTTTGCCGTGTGTAAGAGACCTTTTTCTGCTGATACATGCACAGACGCATACACACACGCATACACATACACACATATACCAAAATTTACCAAAATTACTTTATTAAGAACATTGAGGAACATTGAGAATTAGTTTAAATAAAATCTAACACATTACATTTTATATTGAAAGATATTGTCCATATAAAGATACTTTATGTATAAATTATATGTATTTAATGATACTTTATAAATAAAGTATCTTTCAAAATATGAAATGTATGTGTGTATTAGATTTTATATTAAATGGCGTGTGTATGTGATTAGTATTATAAAGTAAAATATTTAACTATAAACTTTTTGATGAATTTTGTGAATCAAAGTTTTCTATAATTATATACTTATTTATATAATATTATTTTTATATCTTTCGTGTAAATTTCGGCCGTTCTACGGGTGGCTCAAGGCGAAGTAAAATTTCTCCTTATTACAATTTTTATTATCCTGTATTATTACTCATCTTTTGTCTTAAATACATTTTTTGTAAAAAAACCAAAAATTAATTGAATAATCAAGAAAATGTACTTAAAACATACACACAAGCAAAATATTATTAAAGAAATTATAATAAACATTTTCTACAATTCTATGAAAATTTTGTAACTATTTATTTTTCGTTTATATTAAAAATACATTAAAAGTTTATAAAAGACAGTTTATACAAAAAGTTTATAAGAAATTAATAAAAAGGTAAAAATTTAAATATAGGTGATAATTATAAAAAGTCAATAGTAAAAAATAAAAGTTTACAAATACATATTGTATATATAAAAATATTGAAAGAATTATTTTTATTGTGAAAAGCTATTTTAAAAATGCACATTTTCGTTTTCCTATTTTAAATGGGTGTCTCAAAAGCATTTTGCATTTTGCATTTTGAAATGAAAAACTTCCATTTATTTTACATTATCTATCATAAATGAGTTTAAACCCCCATTTTGTATAAATCAATTTGATTTTGATAATAATAGATTCATTATAAGACAGAGAAACATAATATACCATTTTCATAACACATGTGTGTACATAACAATAATAGAAAACATTGCTTGCCTTGAAAAACTATGGAATCATATGTTATTAATATATACAAAATTAAATATATTATAAATGAAATGAATGACAATATCAAGAATCTGAAAAACAATCAAAGATCAAACATTGTTTCAGCAATTTCTATCTCGGCTTCTGTAGCGGCGTTATACGGATAAATTTTTGCTAACATTTTATTTGGCACATAATGCGTGCCTTCGAATTTACAAAAATAGCGACCTATTTCGTTATTATCGATCCATTTCGGCGTTGTTAAAGTTATAGCGTTTGAAATAAAAAATAATAATTAAATTCATAATCACTAAGAGAAAGAAAGGAATAAATGAAATAAATAATAAAGAAATTATAATAAATACAATAAATATAAAACATATAATAATAAAATAACGGAAACGAAATAAAGTATTATTTTATATTCCAGAAAACATTTCGCGCGCAAATATATACCTAGCCATTACATACTAAAGCAGCTCATATGGCGCAAGCAGAACTTTATCCTAAAGGGTCGTCATAGTGATAGCAAATGCTAGCACACTTTGCACGCAATTTCATCTCGTTATAAGCATGCAACATGAGCATATTCCACAAGCATATTGCTGTCATACTATCACATCACTGGCATATTTTTGGCAATTTGATATCCATTTGCACGTGATTTGCTGGTGTAATAAATAATACATAAGCTAAACATTTGCGTGAAATATGTACGACTAAACATATCCCACATGCAAAACTCGGGCAAATCTCGTACACAGTTTATATGCATAATGCGCGCAAATTTTGCACGCAAAAACTGTTATCAGAGATTACATGCAAAGAGATGAGTTTCGTATACTAAATAAATAAAAAGGTTTATATATATAATGATGCTTATACCTTCTTCTACTTTGCGAAGTCTATTATCTTCAGTGAGAATAATGTAATATATTTGTTGATGTACGAATTTATATGTTGCTGTAAATTCACGAAAAAATGGATCCAACAACATTGTATATTGATTCACGTCTAAAAAGATTGTATCACTTCTATCAATATCATATTTGTCCCATCCGACGATCACACCCACCTCTTTACCTATAATTATAATTCTATAATTATTTCTAATCTATATATCCATAATAAAATAACTATATATGATTTGTCACCATGTTTAACTATCATTCCAACTGCAAACTTTACATTCTCTGGCCTTCTATACAATTTCTTTTTTTTTAACCGTTCATTTCGTAGATGCCGCTAAAAAAAATAAGATCTAATTTGATTTGCTTATTTTTTTTATACAATTCGTAAATATTGCTTTTATTGGCAGTCAGTTTGCTACCCGGATAGTGCTAACATACCTGATGAAGTGTAAATATTCCACATAAATATAAAGTATAAATTGTATGTGTTCCATCTACGTTCCACAAATATAAATCAAAGCGCCGTACTAATAAGGACAACATCTGAAAAAAAAATTTAATCTTATACAAAAATGAAATGGGATCTGATTATAAAAATAAAAAATATGAGAGATTGTGTAATAATCCCTGCTGCCTATTATCACGTGTAAAGCATATTTCATTGATTAATCTATTTGCCATAGTTATAAAAGTATATTATAATTAATGTTAAGAAAATTCATATACAATGTATGTAATTGTCAACCTCTTCAGGTTTTAGTATAAAGTCTTCTAAAGTATTTTTACGGTTCATCATAAACAGCGACAATTGTTTGTAAAGACATTTCGGGAATTCTTCAAAGGTTATATCGTAACATCTTGCATTTTCAAACCTATTCATAGCACTGCGAACAATATAAAATTATAATATATGTGTGTATGCAATATATTAGAAATGCCGAAATGTTCAATTAATTTCAATTCTAATTTATACTTACTATTTTGGCATGCAAAA